ATATTTCAAATCTTACCTTACTAATAGGTATCAGTATGTCCCCCATTAAAGACACAGCATCAACAACACAGCCACTTGATACTGGAGTTCCGCAGGGAAGTGTCCTTGGTCCCCTGCTCTTCCTCATATACATCAATGATCTTCCAAACGTATCTCAACACCTGAACCCCATTCTCTTTGCTGACGACACGACTTATGTCATCTCTCACCCTAATCTTGCCACCCTCAACACCATTGTTAATGAGGAGCTGATCAAAATATCGACTTGGATGACAGCCAATAAACTTACGCTTAACACTGACAAAACCTACTACATTATACAGTGGACCCCCGCTTAACGATCACCTCCAAATGCGACCAATTATGTAAGTGTATTTATGTAAGTGCGTTTGTACGTGTATGTTTGGGGGTCTGAAATGGACTAATCTACTTCACAATATTCCTTATGGGAAAAAATTCGGTCAGTACTGGCACCTGAACATACTACTGGAATGAAAAAAGTTCGTTAACCGGGGGTCCACTGTATTTGGTAGCAGAGCAGGAGATGCGCAAATTAACATTAAGATCGACAACACTCTAATTGCCAGGCATAATGAGGGCAAATTCCTAGGCCTATGCCTCGACAACAACCTGAACTTAAAGCACCCATACCCAAAACATTTAACCAAAAAAGTATCCAAAACGGTTGGGATCCTCTCCAAGATACGATACTACGTGCCGCAAAGTGCCCTTCTCACACTATACTATTCACTTATATATCCATACCTCACCTATGCTATCTGTGCTTGGGTTCAACTGCAGCAACACACCTAAAGCCAATAATAACCCAACAAAAAGCCGCAGTAAGAATAATCACTAAACCCCCATCCCGGGCAACACCCCCCCCCACTCTTCATAGATCTAAACTTACTCCCTGTTCAGTACATCCACACTTACTACTGTGCAATCTACATCTACCAGGACCTTAAATTCCAATATTAACCTTGACCTAAAACACTTTCTTGATAGTTGCGACAGAAACCCACAGGCACAACACCAGACACAAGCTCTCTGACATTCCCCGTGTCCAACTAAAACCTTTACAAAAATTCAATGTATGTCAAAGGCCCTAAAATCTGGAACACCCTACTGAAAATTCTAAAACTGCAGACACATTCATCCCTTCAAAACTCCCATCAGAAAACACTCATCTCCCTGATACACCCTGTCAACTAATTACATGAATACCACCTGGTGGTTAACACTTTCACTCACCCTTTTGACCATAAACAGAAATATCAATCTCAATCTCAAAATAATGAATCTTAACTAGTCATAATTTGGGCCCTTTGGGGATACTCCAATACTGAAACTATGTATAGTTGCCAAAACAAAAGCATTCACATTGCTAAACTCACAAACTAGTATTAGTCACTTACCCATAATACCCAACTAACCTCATAATTTTGTAATATTTTTAAACTTAAGATTTAATTTAAGTCTGCCCAAAACCCTAGCCATGCTAGGTGTTCTAGTGGTACACCTGTAATTATTATTTTATTACATGTAAACCACACAATAACCAAATTCTGTAAACTCAGAATTGTAACCCTTTTAAAGAGAATAAAATTTGAATTTGAATTTGAATTGAATTTAAATTGAATGTCCCCCCCCCCCCCCCCCCCCCCCCCCCCCCCCCCCCCTTTTAGCATTTCTGTCATGATCCCATCAGTTCCAGCTGCTTATTACCCCCTTTCATTTTACGTAAATGCCTCACGTACCTCCCCCACACTTACATTCTGCTCTCCTTCACTCCTAAAAGATGGTATCCCTCCCTGACCAGTGCATGAATTACTGCTTCTGTTTCTTCCTTAACATTTAAAAGTTCCTCAAAATATCTTGCCATCTACCTAATATCCCATCTCCCCATCTACTAACTCCCCTACCTTTTTTTTAACTGACAAATCCATACTTTCCTTAGGCTTTCTTAACTTGTTTAACTCACTCCAAAATTTTTTCTTTTTTCATTGAAATTTCTTGACAGTGCCTCCCCCACTCATCATCTGCTCTCCTTTTCCCACTCTCACCACTCTCTTTACTTTTCTTTTACTCTCCATATACTCTGCTCTTTTTATAACACTTCTGCTTTGTAAAAACCTCTCATAAGCTACCTTTTCTCTTTTATCACACACCTTTACTTCATCATTCCCACCAATCACTCCTCTTTCCTCCGCCCCCACCCTCTTATAACCACAAATTTCTGCCCCACATTCTAATACTGCATTTTTAAAACTATTCCAACCCTCTTCAACCCCCCCACTACTCATCTTTGCACAGCCCACCTTTCTCCCAATAGTCGCTTATATCTCACCCGAACTTCTCCTCCCTTATTTTTATACATTTTCCCACCTCCCTCTTACTTGTTGTTCCCAAACCTTCCTCTTTTCCCATCTACCTCTTACTCTAACTGTAGCTACAACTAAATAATGATCCATATATCAGTTGCCCCTCTATAAACATGTACATCCTGGACCCTACCCATCAACCTTTTATCCACCAATACATAATCTAATAAACTACTTTCATTACGTGCTACATCATACCTTGTATATTTATTTATCCTCTTTTCATAAAATATGTATTACTTATTTCCAATCTCTTTCTGCACATAGCTCAATTAAAGGCTCCCCATTTACATTACCCCTGGCACCCCAAATTTACCTACTACTACCTCCATAAAAATTTTTACCCCCCTTTAGCATTGAAATCCCCAACCACGATTACTCTCACACTTGATTCAAAACTCCCCACGCATTCACCCCAACCCTTTCCCAAAAAACTCTCCTCTCTCCTCTACACTTCTCTCTTCTCCAGTGCATACACGCTTATTATAACCCACTTTTCACATCCCTCTTTATTTTACTCCACATAATCCTTGAATTTAAAACATTTATAGTCCCCTTTTCCTGCCATAGCTTATCCTTTTAACATTATTGCTACTCCTTTTAGCTCTAACTCTATTTGAAACCCCTGACCTAATCCCATTTATTCCTCTCCACTGAAACTCTCCCACCCCTTCAGCTTTGTTTCACTTAAAGCCAGGACATCCAGCTTCTTCTCATTCATAAAATCCACAATCATCTCTTTTTTATCATCTGCACAACATCCACGCATATTCAGACTTCCCACTTTGACAATTTTCTTTTTCTTATTCTTTTTAGTAAATTTTTTTTTTTTTTTTTATTAAACACACCGGGCCCATCCCACCAAGGCAGGGTGGGGCCCAAAAAAAAAAACTTTCACCATCATTCACTCCATCACTGTCTTGCCAGAAGGGTGCTTTACACTACAGTTTTTAAACTGCAACATTAACACCCTTCCTTCAGAGTGCAGGCACTGTACTTCCCATCTCCAGGACTCAAGTCCGGCCTGCCGGTTTCCCCGAATCCCTTCATAAATGTTACTTTGCTCACACTCCAACAGCACGTCAAGTATTAAAAACCATTTGTCTCCATTCACACTCCTATCAAACACGCTCACGCATGCCTGCTGGAAGTCCAAGGGCCCCCCGCAAAACAAAACCTCCTTTACCCCTCCCTCCAACCCTTCCTAGGCCGACCCCTACCCCCCGCCCTTCCTTCCACTACAGACTGATCACTCTGAAGTCATTGTTTCGCTCCATTCTCTCTAAAATGTCCGAACCACCTCAACAACCCTTCCTCAGCCCTCTGGACAACAGTTTTTGGGAATCCCGCACCTCCTCCTAACTTCCAAACTACGAATTCTCTGCATTATATTCACACCACACATTTTCCCTCAGACATGACATCTCCACTGCCTCCAGCCTTCTCCTCGCTGCAACATTCATCACCCACGCTTCACACCCATACAAGAGCGTTGGTAAAACTATACTCTCATACATTCCCCTCTTTGCCTCCAAGGACAAAGTTCTTTGTCTCCACAGACTCCTAAGTGCACCACTCACTCTTTTTCCCTCATCAATTCTATGATTCACCTCATCTTTCATAGACCCATCCGCTGACACGTCCACTCCCAAATATCTGAATACGTTCACCTCCTCCATACTCTCTCCCATTGTTCCCGGCATTTTAGTTGACTTTTACAACACGCATGGCTTACAGAGGAAAGATTCTTATTCCACTTCCCCATGGATATAAAAGGACAAGTAATAAGACCAAGAACTATTAATATAAAATCAAAGAAAACTCAGATGAGTGTGTATAAATAAATGTGTACATGTATGTGTAGTGTGACCTAAGTGTAGTAGAAGTAGCAAGACATACCTGTAATCTTGCATATTTATGAGACAGACGAAAGACATCAGCAATCCTACCATCATGTAAAACAATCATTATATTATTATTATTATTATTATTATATATATTATTTTATATTATTATTATTATTATTATTTTTATTATTATTATTATTATTATTATTATTATTTTTTTATTATTATTATTATTATTATTTTTTTTTTTTATTTTATTATCACACCGGCCGATTCCCACCAATACATCGACTGCTTCCCACCAAGGGAGGGTGACCCCAAAAAGAAAAAAAAAGCTTTCATTATCATCATCAAATGTTTACACTTTCACTATCACTCATACATAATCACTGTCTTTGCAGAGGTGCTCAGATACGAGTTTAGACGTCCGTCCAAACTGCCAATACAATGGACCCCAGGTTAACGATATTTTTTCATTCCAGAAGTATGTTCAGGTGCCAGTACAGACCGAATTTGTTCCCATAAGGAATATTGTGAAGTAGATTAGTCCACTTCAGACCCCCAAACATACACATACAAACGCACTTACATAATTGGTCGCATTGGGAGGTGATCGTTAAGCGGGGGTCCACTGTATTGTTATTATTATCCTCGCTCTACAACAGCATCTTGGATCCTAAAAATTGCATGTCTAAGATGTGAAATTAATGTAATTTTTATTTAAAAATTTTTACCCAAAAATTTATCAGTGAAATTTTGCAAATTTTAGGTGGTAAACAACATCAGCTAGAATCCTTAAGAAGAACTCAAGATGAATTGAGAGCAACATTGAGGGAACAGTTTACATGTTCTGATGAGGAACTGTACAATATGATCAAAGACTTTCAACGAGACCTGGAACAAAAAGAAGCAGACCAAAGCAGGGTAAGTTTTTTTTTTTTTTTTCAAATATCTAAAATAATATAATTTGTAAGGATTTTCCTAATGATAATATTAAACCATGTTCAGTCACCATCAGTTATTATTAAAAGACAGTCATTAAACAGATACAGTTGAGTGTAATAACCCTGGAAATACATGTATATTGTAGATGAGTTCTGTGTGATTGATGTCAACTTGGCAATAGCAACTTTAAAATATAAAATGTGATAGAAAACTTCCAGAATTGCATAAACATAAAGATAGTGATCTGGATGCATTTCATGCATTGGCTATTTTGCTGAATTTGAGTCCTGTTTTAATCCAATTTCATTGCTTAGTTTGACCAAATTTTTAGGAATTTTTCTAGTATGCCTTCTGTTCTATTGAATTAGTACAAGACACTGCCTGTTCAGTAATCAAAACTACCCTATATAGTGCCCAGAATTTTCTAATTTGACTTATTTTATTCAAATTTTAAATTCTTTCTTTCAACACACCGGCCGTATCCCACTGAGCCGGGGTGGCCCTAAAGGAAAAACGAAATGTTCTCCTTTTACATTTAGTAATATATACAGGAGAAGGGGTTACTAGCCCCTTGCTCCCGGCATTTTAGTCGCCTGTTACAACACGCATGGCTTACAGAGGAAGAATTCTGTTCACTTCCCCATGGAGGTAAGAGGAAATAAACAAGAACAAGAACTAGAAAGAAAATAGAAGAAAACCCAGAGGGGTGTGTATATATATGCTTGTACATGTATGTGTAGTGTGACCTAAGTGTAAGTAGAAGTAGCAAGACGTACCTGAAATCTTGCACGTGTATGAGACGGAAAAAAAGACACCAGCAATCTTACCATCGTGTAAAACAATTACAGGCTTCCGTTTTACACTTACTTGGCAAGACAGTAGTACCTCCGTGGGTGGTTGCTGTCTACCAACCTACTACTGTCCCTAATCACTGTAGATATTCCAGGCACTAGAACTTTTTTTTTTTTTTTTGCTGTACAATAATGCCTCCAAGCCTTCCTATATTTATTACACTTGCCTTCCATTTTGAATTCATCATCATACAGTAAATAAAAGATTTATCCTATTCCTTGGATAATAAAATATAACTAGAAATGATTTAATAGATTATGGCATCTATTACAACCCAGGTTCTCAAAGGCCTGTTATCCTGGGTGTAAAGGGAGCAAGATAAACACAGCAGAAAAGCTTTGATTTGTATTATCCTTCACCAAGTATAAACTGCATTTTTTTTTTTTTCAAAAGTTGGCCGTCTCCCACCGAGGCAGGGTGACCCAAAAAAGAAAGAAAATCCCCAAAAAGAAAATACTTTCATCATCATTCAACACTTTCACCACACTCACACATTATCACTGTTTTTGCAGAGGTGCTCAGAATACAACAGTTTAGAAGCATATACGTATAAAGATACACAACATATCCCTCCAAACTGCCAATATCCCAAACCCCTCCTTTAAAGTGCAGGCATTGTACTTCCCATTTCCAGGACTCAAGTCCGACTATATGAAAATAACAGGTTTCCCTGAATCCCTTCATTAAATATTACCCTGCTCACGCTCCAACAGATCGTCAGGTCCCAAGTATCATTCGTCTCCATTCACTCCTATCTAACACGCTCACGCACGCTTGCTGGAAGTCCAAGCCCCTCGCCCACTAAACCTCCTTTACCCCCTCTCTCCAACCCTTTCGAGGACGACCCCTACTCCTTCCTTCCCCTATAGATTTATATGCTTTCCATGTCATTCTACTTTGATCCATTCTCTCTAAATGACCAAACCACCTCAACAACCTCTCTTCTGCCCTCTGACTAATGCTTTTATTAACTCCACACCTTCTAATTTCTACACTCCGAATTTTCTGCATAATATTTACACCACACATTGCCCTTAGACAGGACATCTCCACTGCCTCCAACCGTCTCCTCGCTGCTGCATTTACCACCCACGCTTCACATCCATATAAGAGTGTTGGTACCACTATACTTTCATACATTCCCTTCTTTGCCTCCATGTGTACACTATGTACAGCAATAGGTATTAGTGCATGTCATGGTAATCGAAGCAAAGGAGATGCCAAAAGAACAGCAGACCACCGTGCTTCAGCCAACTCTAGAATGGAAATGACAAGGGTAAAAATGTGCATGTAACCACGTCACCTTTACAATTGCCAGATTCACATTATGATTGGTTGAACCTAGACACTGATCTGACAATGGGGCCCCAGTCGTCCGACCCTTACTATCTGGTTCGCTGGTTGGGGAGGTAGCCTTTTAATGAGGGTGTGTACATGCTCTGAATAAAGGTTTTGTACTCTTTGCATGCCACACCCCCACCCCAAGAGGGCTTAGGAATAGGCTTCCACCTCCAATGGGTAGAAAGTGCTGCCATGGCACTGTATAATGGAACTGCCTTTCCTCTCAGCCATCCAACTCTTAGATAGAGCTCAGCTTTATTCTCGACATAAAGCCAGTCTAAACTTAGAGCGAGACAGCAGACTCTTTGCATGCCACAGCACCTCAGCAATTAAAGCAGACAAGTAAAAACCCATAAAACAGATGAGGTATAGGGGAGGCCTTCACTATCCTCAGAAATGTTGACAAAAATAAAATATTTCCATTGCTTTGAGGCTGATTTCAAGCTACTTCTGGTCCTGGAACTAATTAAAGTCAAATGAAAGCAAGAAACAGCCAATAAAACTGTAAAAACTATCCTAGAAAACACTTCAAAATCTCGATTTTAAATCAGACATAATATTAGAGTTTTGCTTTTCCCATCATGCACTTAATGAGGCAGGATTTTTTTTATAATGTACACATTCACCACACAGACCCATTCTCTCATATCTAGGCCAAAATTTGCCACTCAGCTTATGAGAGTAACTAAGCTCATGATGTAGATCTCCGAAACAGACCCTTGTCATCAATGATGTAATTCATGACAGACGGTCAGAGGGTTAATAAACATTTAAATATTTATACAGTATATATGACATTATTATTAATAAGAAGTTGACTTGTCAGTAATCTGATCATAATGAACATGTAAATCAAGCAATATCGAAAGATTGAGCAAGATGTCAACTTTACTAAGATAGTTTAACTAGGTTGCATTTCCATATTCATTTCAGTGTAGGTATAATGACCTATTTGAATTGGTGAGGAGTGAGCTCCCACTCTTGACATCACCACTTTACCTTTGGCCAACTAACATGATTGAGCCCTTTCATATGTTTGAACTCCTGTATGAAGCTATGTATTATGTAGTCAGTGTCTGTATGATGTTCTTGTTCACCGGTTATTTCAGTTTTTTAAGTGATTGACGCTCTTGATAGTATATTTCTCTCTATAGAGAAGCACTGCTAGGGTAATACTGTATTTGTCATTTTGTATTTTGTATTCCCTACTGAAGTTTTTTTTTTTTTTTTTTTTTTTGAACATTCATTGATATACATGTTTCCTCTTCATTTTACCGCTGAATTAATGAGGCCAGTTTTGTTGGATATATCATTTAATCTTGAGTAGCAATAGTTGATTTCCAATCAAAGTTGCCTTACCTAATATTCAGAATGCGTAACTTTAATTTGTCCCTATGTTCACCCAAAAAAAAAAAGTATTTTAATTGTATTTGTTCCAATGAATTCTTAATGTTCTACATTTGGAGGTAGGCTAACACTTTCCAATGTGGCTAAGTCAAAAATCCTTTGAAGGAGCTTGTGTTAGTGGTGAATAGATTTTATAATTTTTTAAATAGGTCTCAGTCTTGTTTGGATTTCATTTTTACAATGTATAGAATTTTATCCTGAATTTCTTTACTAATCACTGCTTGGGTTTGAAATTGTTTTAGCTCCAACTTTCATTGCTTGGTGTGAAAAATTACATTGAGGCTTACTAATTTCTATCCCTACTTAAAATATACATAGCTTGAGGACATGAGTGCTTATTAAGTACGTACACTGAAGATTGATTTTGTTGGTAGAATGGCACTAATGGGAGTTGTAGTAATTTCTGTACCAGTGGTTGTTTTTTTATTCATTATCACACTGGCCGATTCCCACCAAGGCAGGGTGGCCCGAAAAGGAAAAACTTTCACCATCATTCACTCCATCACTGTCTTGCCAGAAGGGTGCTTTACACTACAGTTTTTAAACTGCAACATTAGCACCCCTCCTTCAGAGTGCAGGCACAGTACTTCCCATCTCCAGGACTCAGTCCAGCCTGCTGGTTTCCCTGAATCCCTTCATAAATGTTACTTTGCTCACACTCCAACAGCACGTCAAGTATTAAAAACCACTTGTCTCCATTCACTCCTATCAAACACGCTCACGCATGTCCGCTGGAAGTCCAAGCCCCTCGCACACAAAACCTCTTTACCCCCTCCCTCCAACCTTTCCTAGGCCGACCCCTACCCCGCCTTCCTTCCACTACAGACTGATACACTCTTGAAGTCATTCTGTTTTGCTCCATTCTCTCTACATGTCCAAACCACCTCAACAACCCTTCCTCAGCCCTCTGGACAACAGTTTTGGCAATCCCGCACCTCCTCCTAACTTCCAAACTACGAATTCTCTGCATTATATTCACACCACACATTGCCCTCAGACATGACATCTCCACTGCCTCCAGCCTTCTCCTCGCTGCAACATTCATCACCCATGCTTCACACCCATACAGGAGCGTTGGTAAAACTACTCTCGTACATTCCCCTCTTTGCTTCCAAGGACAAAGTTCTTTGTCTCCACAGACTCCTAAGTGCACCGCTCACCCTTTTCCCCTCATCAATTCTATGATTCACCTCATCTTTCATAGACCCATCAGCTGACACATCCACTCCCAAATATCTGAATACATTCACCTCCTCCATACTCTCTCCCTCCAATCTGATATCCAATCTTTTATCACCTAATCTTTTTGTTATCCTCATAACCTTACTCTTTCCTGTATTCACTTTCAATTTTCTTCTTTTACATACCCTACCAAATTC